TCCTCGGTTACTTGGTGATGAAATCCATAGTGATCTGTTACCATTTCCATATGGGAACCTATAACATGCAAATTTTCAAACCAAAATTTTCATTTTTAATTAACTAAGAACATTATTCATAAAAAGCCATCTCAAGAAAGTCACAAGTATCAAATACAAATCATCATCATAATATCAGAGTGTCCCAAAATATATGAAATTAGGAACTGCAGGAGAATGTGTACAATCAATCATTCTCCTTCCATCGATCTTTAGAAGTACCTGAAACATATGTAATTAACAAATGTAAGCACGAGGCTTAGTGAGTTCCCTAAAATACTATATATAACACAACAAAAAATAGACAGTTATGGGTTATCAGAAACCCTGGAGACTACCCAAAGTCTCAGTGGGCAAACAACACACCCTTTAGGTTATCATCAACACCACCCTAGAGACTAGCCAAAGTCTCAACACACACAATAACACATATCACAATAACAAAAATTAGACCTAGCTAATTAATACATGTATACTACCAAAATATCTGAAATTAGGAACTGCAGGAGAATGTGTACAATCAATCATTCTCCTTCCATCGATCTTTAGAAGTACCTGAAACATATGTAATTAACAAATGTAAGCATGAGGCTTAGTGAGTTCCCTAAAATACTATATATAACACAACAAAAAATAGACAGTTATTGGTTATCATAAACCCTGGAGACTACCCGAAGTCTCAGTGGGCAAACAATACACCCTGTAGGTTATCATCAACACCACCCTAGAGACTAGCCAAAGTCTCAACACACACAATAACACATATCACAATAACAAAAATTAGACCTAGCTAATTAATACATGTATACTACCACACATGTAAGAATCGTGAGGAGACTTACCTCGCACAAAAGACTGACAGAACTCACACAGTCACACGGACACACCCGAACTACCAGAACTAGGCTCCCAATATTAATCGTACCAATAATCCTAATTAACAAATAAGAAAATTTTCCATATTCAACTAGTCCCAACCCAAATAAAATACATAATTTTGGGCAAAAGACCATTTTGCCCCTTCCAAGACCCAAAGCCCTCACAAATTGACTCAAAAGGCACACTTGGAAAGGTTGTAGAACTCATTACTCGGTACCTGTACGGCCGACTACCGAGTAGCGAGTACTCGAGAGTACTCGGGGAGTACTCGGATTTGGAAATTTGTGTAGAAATATTTTTAGGGAAATTATATATGTCAAAATCATAAAATAAAATCATAAGTTGATTGAAATATATAACAAAATCGGATACATGTGAATACACAAAAAATGAAAAACACATAACGGTCTCACTTCGTGAATAATTACTGAAAATTTAAAATATATATGTAGTAATAATCACATGTGTGTATGTGTGTGTTAAATAATAAATCATTAAGTATATTATACATAATAGTCACCGAGTTGACCAAATTTCACAACACTACTCAGTTCGTAAGGGGCCGATCGGGGAGTACTCGGGATTATGTAACTCGCCTCGGCAAGGGGGGGAGTAGCGAGTACTCGGATGAGTAATCGGCCAACTCGGCGAGTTTTACAACACTGACACTTGGTAAAAAGTCTAAGGTTAGCACGGTTGACCTTACACGCGATGTACCAAAGCTCTATGCTGGGCATAAAGCAAAAAAGCAGAAAACGAGCTCACAGTTGGCTACACTGCGCGTAGCCAAATTTATGCTAAGCGTACTCGACCTAAACCCAAATCTTAACTTTTAAACTGTTAATCATTAAGACACTTCACTGCAACCTAAGATCTGACCCTAAACGACATTCTTATCCATAAAGTATCCAAATTTATGCCTTTGCATGACTAAAGAGAGCCCAATTCCAAAATCCTAACTTCTAACATTACAAAAAACTCCATAACTCATGCATGGAAGAAATGAAAGGACAAAGCTTGCATTTTTTTTTTTTGACACTGTGCACTTAAAAACGTCTAAAAGGACAGCTCAAATGGTCTGGAATAGTCCATACAAAGAGCGAGGTTTTGGGAAAAAATGAATATAAACTCAAGCTTAAATAAGATTTAGCAAAGCAAGTCTCAAGGTATGAACTTTATACCTTTTGTAAATGAACAATGACGTGTAGATTATGGATCTAAGAGCTAGAATGCACCACCATTTCTTCAATGATATTTCTTCTCCACCAAAAACACTAAAAAAATCACTCAAAATCTTCAAAAACCGCACTCAAGGGTTAGAGTTTCGATATTAGGGATAAGAGGGATGGAGGTTGGTCATAAGAAGGTCCGAGGTGGAATAAGATGCTTAAATAAGGGACACAACCCTAAAAATTTAGGGTTAGGGAATAGCACGAGTATGTTGAGCGTACTCAACATGTATGTCTAATATACTTAAGAAGTTTCATGATCCAAATACTAACTTACGCCCTGTACACTTCATGTACGCCCAACATAAGGACTTATTTTGCGATAATTGACATTTTAAGGTTGAAAAAGGGAAAAAGCTAGAAACGAGTGTTACAATTCTCCTCCATTTAAATCAGACTACATCCTCGAAGTCAAATGCTATGAAAGATCAGGGTAATGCTCACGCATCTCAGCCTTTGGATCCCAAGTCCAATTAAATCCTTTCCGATGTTGCCACAAAGCTTTGACCGAATTCACTACTTTGTTCCTCAAGGTCTTCACCTTCTTATCTAGAACCACAACTTTCTCATCAACGGCATGCTTCCTCATCTGGGAAACATAGAAGGTGTCATGAATCCAAATCAACTCCTCTAGCAGCTCTAACTGGTATGCCACCTTGCCTACTCGGGTCACCACTCTAAAAGGGCCAATAAACCTGGCCCCCGACTATCCCCGCTTCCTGAATCGGATAACACCTTTCTAATGTGATTCATTATGGAGTACCAAATCTCCAACCTGAAACTCCAACTTAGAGCTTCGCCTATCTATGTAACTCTTTTGGCGGCTCTGGGCCATCAGCAACCTATGTCTGCCCTGCTGGATAAGTTTTGTCAACTTGAGCACTATATCAGTGCCCCTTGACTCTCTATGCGACCTCTCCTCAACAAATAGGAGCCAACACTTCCTACCATATAGGATCTTAAAGTGAGGCATGATAATATTGGCATGTTGGCTGTTGTTATAAGAAAAATCAGCCAGCGGAAGGTAGGAATCCCGGCTCTCACCAAAATCAATGATGTAGGCTCTCAACAAAGCCTCAAGCTTTTAAATAGTACGCTCGTTCTGTCCATCTGTCTACAGATGGTAAGTGGTACTGAAATGCAATCGGGTATCTGACTCCTCATGAAACCTCATCCAAAATTTAGAAGTGAAGTGAATATCCAAATTTGACACGATGCAAGTCAGCACCCCATGGCGAGCCACTACCTCTTGGATATAAATTGTGGTCAATTTCTCATCAGAAGAGCTCTCACATATGGCTAGAAAGTGTGAACTCTTCGTAAAAAGATCAACAATCACCTTGCTAGCATCAAAACCCTTCACATTCCATGGAAACTTCGTAGTAAAATCCATCATAATCTGCTCTCACTTCCACAGTGGTACCTCCAAGGGCTGCAACTTGCCATGAGGGAGCTGATGCTTGGCCTTGACATTCCGGCATGTCAAACACCACACCACATCCCTCTTCATACATAGCCACCAATAGCCATGTATTAGGTCATGATACATCTTTGTAACCTCCGAATGAATGGAAAATCTTGATTTGTGGGCCTCATCCATCAACACATGTCGAGCCCCACTAACTTAGGGCACCTAAACCCAAAAATTCAGTGTTAATAACCCCCTTTTATCAAAATAGAAGGCTGAAACCGGACCAACCACCTGCTCACTCTTCTGATTCGCCTCCTTGATAGCCTCCGACTTCATATCTCTGATCATCTCCAAGACTGGAGTTACCCAACCTCAAATACACATCCTGAATCGAGGTACTGACTGTCATTCAACTCTGAAACACTCCTAGTTAGGTATTAATTTTAAACCCTGAAAATGGAACTAATTAGCTAATGGTTTCCTTTGGGTACGCTAGGCGTACCTGAGGGTACGCTTAGTGTACTAAGATGGAAGGATCGCGAAGGAACTGTGCATATGTGGGGTGTACACAGAAGGTATGCGGAGAGTATGCAACAGAGGACCAAAACCCCAATTTGCAGTCTTGCCCTATTTAAACACCTAGAAGCCTTTGTACCCGACCTTATTCACCCCTAGAGCCTCATTTTCGTCCCTCGTCACCTGAGAATCTTTGTGAGAAAGAGTTTGAGCCTAAGGAGTGGGTTTTGTGGTCTTTGTAAAGTTCATTCAAGAAGAAGGCGATTCTAAGCAAGCGTGGAGTGGCTTGGAGTTCAAGATTCTACACTTATTTCACCTTGGAAGGCTTATGAAGGTATAAATTTGTGACCTTTCCATATTGTTCTTTAGATCTAGTTAGGGTTTCCATTTTGTCCCCTTTAGTTGGATCTAGACCTTCTCTTGGATGTGAAGCAACTCTAGAGACTGAGATTTCCATATCTGAGCTTTGTAAGCATGCTAAGTGCATAAAGTTACGAGTTTTCTGGGTGCTAAGACTACATGCATGATTTGAGAGCTCTTACTTAAGGTCTTAGAGTGATAAATGAGGTTTTGAGGTCCTTCATAGCATGCAAGGTCATAAAGTTGCCAACTTTATGACCTAGGTCGTTAAGATGTGCTCATATATAATTTTGGGACGTTGAACCATCGAGTAATAAGCACTCAATGGAAAGAGTGCTTAATTTGTTCCTACGCTGGACGTAGCATAGAGAACGTCGCACGTAATGTGCAGAAGCCCGGTACGCTGTGCGTACCATGGTGGTACGCATGGCGTACGACCCCTGATGGACATGGACTTGTTTTGGGCCACATTTGGAGAGCCTAAAAGGCATCAACCACAAACTCATAATGCCACAACGAGTTCGAAAAGTCGTCTTCCGAATATCCTCATCTCAAAACTTCATATGATGGTAAGCATTCTTCAGATTGATCTTGGAAAACCAAGATGCGCCCCACAGTTGATCGAAGAGGTCATCAATCCTCCACAAAGGATAAAAATTCTTCACCATCAGCTTGTTGAACTGCCGATAGTCAATACACATCCGGTATGAACCATCATTCTTCTTGACAAAAAAATAATGGTGCTCCCCACAACGGATTGCTCGACCATATAAATTCTTTTCCAAATAGCTTCTGAAGTTGATAGCAAACTCCTACATCTCTAGTGGCATACGAAGATGTGATGCCTTGGTGATCGGTTCCGCACCAGGGATCAGGTCGATTCGGAACTTAGGTACTGTTCTCCAAAAGGTAAAACTTATATCTCCCTCCGAACAGCCTGTGGATCTCTCATTGATCATCAAGATCATCACGATCTGGACGTGAGTAGTTACATAATCGAAGAAGGTACAAAACAGGATACGAAATTAGTGAATAACGATGAGTCAGTGATCAGCAATAGTCGACCCAAGAAAAGGATTCGGATAGAAGATGTTGAAAGTTTGTATTTCCGTCAACAGAGTGAAGAATCGGTTGGAAACAGTAATGATTCGGGTATTGTTGATGATGATGAAAAGAAAGAGGGTACTCTGAGAAATCGTCCAAGAAAAGCTCTTCGTGAGATTAAGAAATTGAAGGAATCCGAGAAGAAAAGAAAATAGTTTAAACCCAAGAAACGAATACGAAAGGTGAAACCTTCTTCTGTGAGCCGTAGGTGCCTTCTTTCTTCCCTAATCCAAAGAAAATTTGTGTTAAGTGGTTCAAGAGTCGCTTATCTTAACAGACTAGATTATCATATTATGGCATTCGGGCGTATATCTGAGAAGGGAATTCAATGTGATTGTTGCAATATGTTTTTTTTGCTAAGCAAATTCGAGTCTCATGCTGGAAGTACATATCGTAGACCATCAGCCAGGATATTTCTAGATGATGGGAGGTCTCTATTGGATTTTCAAACACAGTTAAACGTAGAAACCGAAGTTGATACAGTCACTAAATCTACAAAATCATCTGATCATGCGATATCTGGCCAAGATGAGTTTTGTTCTTTTTGCAACGATGGTGGTGATTTATTGTTATGTGATTCTTGTACTTCTTCTTATCATTCATCTTGTATTGGATTGAATGGAGTTCCTGATTCTGAGTACTGGTTCTGGCCATCTTGCTGTTGTGGGATTTGTCTTCAAGGTCATGATCATGACCGAATTACGTGTGAACAATGTGAGCGCCATTTCCACATTGATTGCCTGAAAAAAGAAGGGCTTTCAATGTCTTCTGATGTTAATAAAACGTTTTGTTCTAAAAAATGTGAAGGAATATCTTCCGGCCTAATGGGGATTTCTGGCATATCGATTCCATTAACAACGAACAACCTGAGTTGGAGTTTACTGGGTGAGTGATGATAACAACATAAAGGAAGAATATACAGATTCTTATAGCAAACTAAACTTGGCATTAGAAGTGATGAATGAGTGTTTCGAACCTGTACAGCATCCGTGGTCCAATAATATTAAAAAATTAAGGCAAAACTTCATAAATGGTCCCTGTGGTTGTGAAATGACTAAAATGCCCTTCACTTAACGACCAAAAGCTACCGAAGTTAGCGAAAAGGACCATTTGTTAAAAGTTTTGAAACCACAAGGACCATCTGTGAGGTTTTTTGAACTTAAGGACTAAACTTGATATTTTTGAAGGCCACAGGGACCATTTTTGAAGTTTTGTCGATAATGTATGAAATGTTTTGACTTATTTAAAATGGGAATCTTTCTCGGTATTTTTAGGACATTACAGCTCCAAATTTCGAAAGACAATCCTTTAAATAGCGAACCACATGGTTTTGTGCTATAGACTAGCCGTCATGATCACGTGCACCCCCGTGAATTGTATGGGCAACTATTTTATAACTAACCATAATAATTAAAGTCTTCAAACACAATGAGATTAAATTAAAAATTATCAAGAGGCTAGTAACAGACAATTAAACAAAGTTCAAGCTAAAGTTATGTTTCGAACCCAAACAACCTAATTGATTTTAGTTTTCCTACTTCTGTTAGTAATATAAAAAATGCATTATCCACAACATTATAAAATATAATCGATCTCTTAAGAAGAAATGTCCCAAAAATATGTAAAATCCTAAATTTTCACTAGGAATGGCAACAAGGCGGGTTCGGGCGGGACATGGTTTCCCAAACCCGACCCGATTTCTTTCGGGTATCTTATTGGGGCGCCACATTGGGTTTCGGGTTTCAGGTATTTTATCGGGTTTATAACAATTCATAACGAAATCTTTATTCCATTTTAGCGTACCTCAATATCTTATAAAAACTACATATTCTAACATTTCTTTTAAATTAAAAATACGATGCATCACTTTAATAAAATAATCTGGACGTTATATTAAAACTTATTTGATTTAACTTTTGTTTAATACGTCAAAACATAAAAAAAATGATAATTCACACTAGATCGTTAATAACTAAAAAGATTTTCCACAATAAATATTTTATCTTTGAACGCGTGCAATTAACATCAAAAGGTTTCGAACATATTATATATATATATATATATATATATATATATTATATATATATATATATATATATATATATATATATATATGGGATAATTCAAATAGAAATAGCAAATAGTGTGAGAACGTAAAAATATTATTTTTATATTATTATTCTCCAATGAATTTTATATCCACAACTTTATATCATTATTCAACAATGAATTAATAAATAGTCACATGTTAAAACTAAAATTAGAATTTAGTACAAAAATGCACATACATAAATTTATAATAGAATTATAACATTCTAATGAATATATGAATAATCAAATGTTAATATTTATATTAGAATTATTTCAACAATACACATATACAACATTCATTATTGAATTTATTTGAACTTACTTATATATATATATATATATATATATATATATATATATATATATTATTGAATTTATTTACTATAACATTTTATTTGAACTTACTTCTATATATATATATATATATATATATATATATATATATATATATATATATATACTATAGGTGTGAGCCCATATATTACATGAGTGTATTTAAAATAATTAAATATGTATAAACATTTGAGAAATTTGAATTTACAAGAAAAATGAGAAAAATATTGAATTACTAAAATTAAAGTGTTTTTTTTTCTTTTAAATTTAAACAAATCATTTAGATAAAATAATCAAAGCAAATTAATCACATTTTATTTTAAAATTTTGAAATTATAAGGAAAATCCATTAATGAAATTGATATGCATTTATTATTAAATTTAAATACCATATGGAATTTAATAAAATAGGAAACCACAAAATTACATATGGGATAAAAATTAATTCAAATTAACCACAAAATGACATGTGACAAAATGAATGAGAGTGTGTCAATTGGCAAAAAAAACCTTCATTTATTATATATATATATATATATATATATATATATATATATATATATATATATATATATATATATATATATATAAAACCCGTGGTAACTACAGTTACAAAATTAATCAAACTTTTATAATACAAATTCAAGATTAATAATAAGTTATTTTAAATAAATTATTAATTTAAGAGATATTTTTATTAGTTATGTGAAATTATAATCATTGATTCAAATAAATATATAAAATTAATTTTTAATTTATATTAGATATTTTTTATTTGTGAATTAATGAAAACAATAATTTAAAATTTAAATTTTAAAATAGAATCACATTAATGAAGAGGTCTAATAAATTTAAAATGAAAAATTAATAGATTGACAAATAGCAACACATTAATTAAAATATCTAATATGGTGACACATGGCAAAATAGTTATTCTTTTATTAGTATATATATATATATATATACATATATATATATATATATATATATATATATATATATATATATATATATATATATATATATATATACACTACGCAAATGTTCGCGCGTTGCGCAGAAACACCTATATAGGTGAAGTATTTACAAATATAGATTTTTTTTCAATATAACAATAACGTTATTGTTAAATTTGATATAATAATTTGTATATACTAAATTGATATTATATATTGATTATTTTGAATTATATGATAATATATACATTTATTATAACTTCATAATCTCAATCGTTGAATGACTTCTACCCACGAGTTACACATGAATAAAATTAAATATAATATATGATTTGATGTTATTTATAGTTGTTTTTATTTTTAATTAATTTTTTAAAATTTATTTGCTTAATGTTTTAATTTGTATCGTTATAATTATTTAAAACATCAAACATTGTTTTTTTTTTTATTATTTTAAAGCTAACAATATAATCATTTATATAGAGTTGTTTTTAACTATTGTTATTGTAAGTTATTTTAAGCTACTTATTTGGAAACTTTTAAAAATTATAAAAATATATTTAAGAAATATTTTAGTTAAATTGAAATTACAATTTAGTTTTTGCTTTTATCACTACAATTTATCACTTTTAACTATTTGCAAAATTTTCTTTACTTTTTTTAAATGGAACTGAAATTTATATTTGGGTTGACATTGTAATGCGCAGAAACACCTATATAGTTGAAGTCTTTACAAATATATATATTTTAAAATATAACAGTAACGTTGTTGTTAAATTTGATATAATAATTCGTATATTAATTTGATATAATATATTGACTATTTTGAATTATATTATAACATATAAATTTATTATAACGTCATAATTTCAATCGTTTGAATGATTTCTACTCGCGAGTTACACATCAATAAAATTAAATAATATATATGGTTTAATATTATTTATAGTTGTTATTTTTAACTAATTTGTTAAAATATATTTGTTTAATGTTTTAATTTCTATCATTATAATGATTTAAAACATCAAACATTATTTTTTGATTTTAAAGGTAACAATATAGTCATTTATATAGAATTATTTTTAACTATTGTTATTATGAGTTATTTTAAGCTACTTATTTGAAATTTTTTAACGATTATATAAATATATTTAGGAAATATTTTAGTTAAACTGATATTACAATTTAGTTTTTTGTATTCATCACTTTTACCTATTTACAAAACATTTTTTGTTTTTTTAATGGAATTGAAATTTATATTTAAGTTGACACTGTAATGTTATATTTAAATTAACAATTTAAGTATTTTGCCCAAACTGTTCAAAAATTGTAGTTTTAAACTGATAATGGTTTATATGCAACAACATTTTAAACCTAATAAATTAAGTATAATATGTTAAAATTTAAAAACATAACTTTATAAATAAAAGTAAATATATTATTTTAAAATTGAAATTTAGTCTATTTATGATTACACTTTAGGTTTGATATTTATTTAACCTTATTAACCAACTTACAATCATTATTAGAAAGACACTACAATTTATTACTTTTAACTATTTATAAAATAATCTTTGGGTTGTTTAAGTTAAATTAAATTTATATTTAAGTTGAATCTATAATGTTATATTTTAATTAATAATTTAAGTATTTTATACAAATTGTTCAAAAATTAAACCTTTAAAATGATAATGGTTTACATCCAACAATATATTAAAACTAATAAATTAAGTATTTTATATTTATTTAACCTAACTATGAAATTATAATTATTATTATTATTATAAAGAAATTGAAAAGTCATGGGAGTTTCAAATAAATATCGTGAAAGAATAAAAGAATGAGGGTTTCAAATGCATGAGATTCAAGAAAAAATGCTAGTTTTATATGTATGTATGATATATATATATATATATATATATATATATATATATATATATATATATATATATATATATATATTATCGGGGCACGGCAGGTCAGGGTGAGGATAACTCACTCTCTGCTCCGAACCCGATATAAAACCTGACAACGATCCGTTACCCGACCCGAAATGTTCGGGTTTCGGGTTTCCCTGTCGGGTTCGGGCTGTTTTGTCATCCTAATTTCCACAAACTCCAAAATGAAAAAAAAAAAAATCACCATTGCATTAAAAGTCTTCATTTGTTCGGTTGTCAAAGACTCAAAGGCACTGAAGAGAGAGATAGAGGGTTAGAAACCTTCACCCCCTCGTCGACCAAAGAGCAGTCCTACACATAAAACTGCCAAAGGACACTACCGTCTCCACCACAAACGAGCATCGGAGACATAATCTCGGCCATTAATATTTCATCTAGAAACAAAGTTGTTTCTCATATTTTTTAGCAATATTTATTAGCATGTGATCTAGTATTAATATTTCTGTGTATATACTTACAATATTTTAAACTTGTCAAGGTTTAAATAGTATAACCTTTTATAAAATTTAACATCCTAATCATTAAACTCGTATCGTAAAACTAACAATGGAGATG